CGAACATTTCTAGATGCAAATATATTAATCAAGTATGCATAATCTATGTTATCAATAAATTACTTCTCAATTGATAGCATAGCTAATTCATTCAACTCTTTTCAAACATGCTTCAAGATGTACTTTCCGAAGTGCCTCTTTTATTAGAAATTAACTACTACATGATTTTATTTTTCCGGCCTGACTTGAGTTAATGATTCATTGATTCAATACTTGATTTTATTTTCCTCTTTTGAAATCGAGACAAAAGTTTGGGAGCCATGGTACAACAAATAAGTAAACACATAATTTAGTGGAATGTTTAACAATATACGTTAGTAATTTTCTCTATAAAGTTCAAAGCATTTAATTTAATTAATTGTGAATTGAGAATTCTGTAATTACAATATTGATAACACTAAATAAAAAAGCAAGAATCAACTAGTATTTAATTATACCTTACATTAACATTTAGAAAAATAATATAAAATTAGAAAATTTCTGAAAATACAAACAAATAACTAAATAAGAAGATAAAAAACATAGACAGATAGAATTAACTATAGAACCTGGAGCGTAGAAGCCTAGAAATATAAGTCAAACTGCCCAATGGAAAACAAATAAAAAAATAACTAGAAAATACATATGTATAATATTAATAAATATAAAATTTTGGGCCCCTAATTTTTACAAATTTTTGGGGCCCTGAGGCCCATGCCTCTCCAGCTTTACATAAGGCACGGCCCTGCACCCCACCTTGAGAGTTGTCACGGGCATAGAGTCTGGCGCAGCCCACAGCGCACGTGCGGCGTCCCGGGGTCCCTCACCCCGCGGACAAGCCTTGCTCTCATACGGAACCGGACTGGTTTCGCTCTGCCTTGGGCTCATCAGGGGAGCGGCAATAGCTCCCGACCAATTGTGCCTTCATGCCCGTCTCCGTCTCCTTCATAGTCAAGCCCTACATGCCCGACTCGGCCAGACCTTAGCGTCTAAGGCAAAACTCCCCTTGACGCTATTGCCTCCCCCATGCCTTGCCTGTCCACCTAGCCAGTCGGTCCGTCCCATTCATTGAGCCTAACACGGTCACGAACAACGGTCCGTGACACTCTCCCCCACTCAAACTCTAGCACGCCCTCGTGCTATGGAAGATGACTCTGCCCAAGGATCACCATTCTTAATATTGTCAACGCACCTCATCGTCAGGCCGCCTCCCCTTGACGCAGCCCGGCTGAGCTGGTGGCCACTCGAGTCCCCATCATCTCAAGAACCCATCCGCCCCTGCGGACCATCAGGAGTAGAGCCGACATCAGCACGTACCGGCCCTAGAGCCACCATGCTCGCATAGTCCTCGTCCCACACGAGGACCCCACCATTCCACGTGACAATATAAGCACGACCGCTCTGATACCACTTGTCACGGGCATAGAGTCTGGCGCAGCCCACAGCGCCCGTGCGGCGTCCCGAGGTCCCTCACCCCGCGGACAAGCCTTGCTCTCATACGGAACCGGACTGGTTTCGCCCTGCCTTGGGCTCATCAGGGGAGCGGCAATAGCTCCCGACCAGTTGTGCCTTCGTGCCCGCCTCCGTCTCCTTCATAGTCAAGCCCTACATGCCCGACTCGGCCAGACCTTAGCGTCTAAGGCAAAACTCCCCTTGACGCTAGCTATTGCCTCCCCCATGCCTCGCCCGTCCAGCTAGCCAGTCGGTCCGTCCCATTCATTGAGCCTAACACGGTCACGAACAACGGTCCGTGACAGAGTTGAGGGGGATTATTAATGTATTATTAATATTATTAGTCGTATGTGTACTATTTCAACGGTAGATGTTGAAATGATAAGAGTTCAAATCCTAGCTACTTGCTTAATACCCCTTTTTCATATACTCTGTAATCAAACATGTCAATTTTTTTTATATAGCCTTTAATCTCATTACAATTCCCATTCACATAAATGAAATAACAGTTTGGTAAGTGACATAAAAAGTATTGTTGTGACAATTGCCCAGTTTGCCCCTATCTACATGCTGCATGCAGTGTATATATAGCCCGTGACCTACTACATGTTGGAACTAATCTTGTTATTAGTGCTAGATCATTAGTGTTAGTCTAATTTGGGTCAATTAGTTAATTAAGTTGCACATTAAGTAATTTGCATTTAGTGTTATTGAGTTAATTATGCATGCATGTTTAGCATGTTTGCACTATAGTGCGTAGTGGGTTAGTTACTCATGCATGTGTGTAGTGGATTGTAACCACCAGTACTGTGTAGGATGTATTTTCATTGTTTATAAATTGAGAATGGGTGAATCAAAAGCTTTAATGCTTTGACCACCACCAAGAGAAAACCACGAGTTCATTAGTCACACCATTCGTTGTATTTTCTTATGCATGTACGTACACATGGAATGAATTTTAGCATATCCATCATTATTATCTTCTTTCTCCTTTAGCAAATCCAACATTTGGTATCAGAGACTTGTTTGTCGAGGTCCGAGTCTCCATCGTTGTCAAGCGGCGCCACGACGACGGAGAAAGGTAGGCTGCCCGGTAAGTTGCGCCACCGGCGGCAAGGGGGTGATGGCCAAGGTGCGGACGCCATTGCCGTGAAGAGATCGTCATCCATGTGTGAGTCGTTGACAAGATGCGGCATCGACGACAAAATGAAGGCGAGTCACCGGCGAGTTGCGTCACCGGTGGCGACCATGAAAGCGAGTCATCGGCGAGTTGCGTCACCGGTGGCAAACATGGAGGCGAGTCACCGGCGAGTTGCGTCACCGGTGGCGACCATGAAAGCGAGTCATCGGGGAGTTGCGTCACCGGTGGCAAACATGGAGGCGAGTTGCGGCACCGGTGGCAAATATGCGGCAGCGAGCGTGTCACGACGGCGTGCTCGTGGTGAAAGCGTAGGAGGTGCGTCTCTCGTCGAGGCCAACAGCGACATCGACAAATCGGCGCGGGAAGATGGCAGTGGCGGCCGTCTACATGTTTGCACCGACGAGATCGATGACAACGGACTTCAAGAGAGAAATAAGTAATAACAAGATTAGGGAGGTGATTGTTGGAACTAATCTTGTTATTAGTGCTAGATCATTAGTGTTAGTCTAATTTGGGTCAATTAGTTAATTAAGTTGCACATTAAGTAATTTGCATTTAGTGTTATTAAGTTAATTACGCATGCATGTTTAGCATGTTTGCACTATAGTGCGTAGTGGGTTAGTTACTCATGCATGTGTGCAGTGGATTGTAACCACCAGTACTACGTAGGATGTATTTTCATTGTTTATAAATTGAGAATGAGTGAATCAAAAGCTTTAATGCTTTGACCACCACCAAGAGAAAACCATGAGTTCATTAGTCACACCATTCGTTGTTTTTTCTTATGCATGTACGTACACATGGAATGAATTTTAGCATATCCATCATTATTATCTTCTTCCTCCTTTAGCAAATCCAACACTACATACGTACGTACTACTATATCATATATACTCCGATCCGTACGTAGTACTACGTATGTAGCTTTTTTCTTCACGAGGTTGATTCCTAGCTTTGACCCGGAGAATGTATCATGTATGTATTGTATGAATGTATATTTCGACCATTTTTTTTAAGAAATTAAAGACTGGATATATGTTATACTCAATACTTCCTCTCCTTTTTTTCTTTTTAAATCCTTTTTATTTGAAAAAAAAACTTTTATTAAATAAAGGTCAAGAGTACATGAAAAAATCAAAAGGAAAAACAGGAGAACAGAAATAGAGAAACAACACAAAAGAAAATGGCTCCTAACTAATAGTTAACCGAACCTAAGTGTGAGGTCCTCCCTAGAAAACTCATAATTCTGTCCATAATGTCCAACTCCATATATACCAAATACTTCCTCTTCTTAAGTATGTACACCCTCTTAAAATTTACATTATTCACATGTCTTACTTTGACAATGATTTATTTATTAATGTATTAGTACATTATTTTTATAAGATAATTTTAAATTTGTGTCATTGTAAAATTTCAAAATCTGATTTTTTGATTTTTTTACTAATGCAAAATAATATGTACTCCGTATTAATGGTCAAAGTTGTGCATCATATCGGTAAATGTGAAAGTGGATTGTTGTACTTCTTTAAGAATGGAGGAAGTATATGTTGAAAATGAGCTACAATTTCAATTAGGGGTGGGCACGACCCAGGTCAGTCCGGGTAGTTGATAAAGTTTCAAAAATTGTCGGTTCCGTTTAACGGGTAGCTGATTCGGTCCGAGAATATTAAGTTTCAAAATAGGAACCAGACCTTATGTGTCCCGTTTGAAATGAGTCCGTCCGATCCGGGTTCTCAATCCTTTATTGTATTAAAAAAAAAATACAGGTACGCTAGCAAAGTATCTAGTAAGTAAAAACATTATCAAATTTTATAAGTATCAATATCACCGTAATACAATAAAAAATCAAAATATAACTACAAATTTATAAATCAAATAGCACATAACTTCACAAATTAAATAGCACCAAAATTTGAAATGTAGAAAATCAGACATCATCACCCATAAACTAAAATATAGTACCACAAAGTTGTAAAAAATTAAACTAGTCACTATACATATGTGTCTAAAGAACAATAAAAGCTTAGTAACTGTCAAAACTTAAGTGCTATTAAAATAATTAATTGAATATGTCACTCTTCATTAAAATAATACGGAGTATTTGTTTACAAAAAAAAGATTAAGTAAAGGAAATTTGATGCATTGAAATAGATAATACAAATTGTGACATATTAAGGTAATACAGAGTATTTGTTTACAGATATTTGGTAAGTTTTAATATAAAGTTATTCTTATACTTTTACTTTATTACTTATTTTGCACTCACTTTCTCTCTCACTACATCTAATCTACTTTTTTAGGGATACGATGGGAAAGTCAAATGCAAAAATTCCTCTCTTAAAAACCCATAAAATCAAAGTATATAGTTTACTTGGACTGTGCATAATGCACTTTCTCTCTCTCATGCATAGTTCTATATCAAAAAAACAATATTGATCAAAATTGATTGTTATTCTTTTTTTTTTTTTTTTGGATGAAATGTAAATATACACCCAAACAAAATTTAACAAGTACAATGTGTCCAAAAATCTAAAGTCTAAAACCCTCACCCCCTCCTATTTCGTGAGAAAAGGAGAGGGTTACGAGAGGCTTTTAGTCTAGTCTAAATCCAAAATAGCCAATACATGCAGCCCAAAAAAATCTAAGTCTATGACCAATGCTACAAAGTGCACGCACTCGAATACAAGCTGTCTAATGTCGTGGCATTCAAAACAACATGAATCTTCTCACAGGTTGATCATCTCATATGGGTAGATACTATAGAGTATCTTGTAAACCATATGCTTGACCTTTGCAACAACATCATCTTCCGAATTTTTTCCTTCATCAAATCTAACAGAGTTCCTCGCATGCCATATATAGTATGCCGCGGCACAGAAGGCTAACCGGGCTGCCTTTGCCTTCAAGTTTTCTCCTTTGCGGCTCTTCGAAATCCACTTGATCACACTAAGCAATGTATTCATTTGATGCCCAAATCCCATCCAACTTTTGATCCTCTCCCACACCCTACACATGAATGGGCAAACAAAAAATAGGTGTAGAATTGTTTCAAATCCACCTTTGCATAGGTCACAACGATTCACAATATGGAGGTACCCGAGGCTATCCTGAGTGGGTAGTCTATTTCGTAGTGCCAACCAAACATTAAAAGAGATTTTAGGTGGAATGTAGGATTTCCAAATGAAGCTCATTGGGGTCCTAACAGTCCCCTTAACTCTCAAAAGCTCATAGATCTTGGCCGAAATCAGTTTGCCATTAATGGATCTAGCGTTAAGGCCCATAATGGTTTCATTCAAATTATTAAAACACTCACGTATTTTATTACGTATTTGGTATAACCTCTTCAAGAATTGCGAGTCACGGCCGTGTGGGACGAATTCCCACACACTTTTACCCTTAAGGTAAACGCCATTAACCCACCTAACTCAAAGGGTATCCTTCTTATGTGGGTCCCAAAGTGTGCGAGAAAGGAGAGCGTTGTTCCAAACCTTAGCATTATGAATGCCAAGTCCTCCTTCCTCTTTAGGGAGACAAATGTCATCCCAAGCCACTTTGACGTACTTGCCACCCCATAAGAAAATCCTGCATATGGAAACTATCGTATCCAAAATCGTTTGGGGAACCGGGAAGACTTGGAGCCAAAAAGATTGGACCCCTTGGATCACCGAATGCAATCTGATAAACTCTTTTTAAGAGGGAAAGTGTATACGTAATACGGAGTATTATACTAGCACTTCACTCCGAAATATTATTGAACGTTGTTGGCATGTCAAATACATTGATCAATTGATGTGCCAGATATGGCGTTTTCGATCAGTGGTACGGTGTGGCTTCATAGTTCATACACCCAAAATTCCAAACTTAAATTCTTAGAACCCGTTTAATTAATAATCTTGATTTTGGGCTTATTAGAATTATCGGTCATCACCAAACATACAAATTTTGATTTCACATGTTGAATTATGTAAGGGAAAAACTGTCAAATAGGTCCTCGAACTTTTATAAAAAGTCAATTAAGTCCTTCTATAGGAGACTCTGTCCGGTCGTCGCGATTTGGGACGGTTCTCGGTGGAATTTTTTGATGAATTTTTTTGAGCATCTTATTCATCAAGTCTAGTTTACTCATTCCAAATTTCAGCTAAACATTTAATCGGGAGCGCATTCAAATTAATTCGAGAACACAAAAATGCGCAGTTATCTTCAAGAATTAATTTGAATGTGTTCCTGATTGAATTTTTAGCTGAAATTTGGTATGAGTAAACTAGACTTGGTGAATAAGATGCTCAAAAAATTTTATCAAAAAATTCCACCGCGAACTTCCCCAAATCGCGACGGCCGGACAGAACCTCCTATAGAAGGACTTAATTGACCTTTTTATGAAAGTTTGAGGACCTATTTGACTGTTTTCCCAATATGTAATAATAATAGCAAAACGTATGATTAAAGTTATTTTCGGTCTATATTAGCTGAAGTCACTCTAGACGACTGATTAAGCTATTTTTCGTATCATTTTTCTTTATTTTCTTAATAAAAATATTTTAAATATAATTTTTTCCATAAATCAGCAGAATCATCCAATACTGCCACTTCAGCAAGAACTTCATAAATTTCAGTAGAATCAGCTGATTCAGCCAATTTCAGTGTTGCCAAACGGCCTCTTAATTATATATCATAAATGCGAAATACAAAAATTTTAGCATTTATCATATAAAAAATATCAAATTTACAGAAAATTAATATATATATCAATTTTTTTTGTACGATATGGTACCGTACCGAATTACTTCGGTATGATATCAAAATATATGTTTTGACAATAAAAGGTATACATGTATATCGTTATACCGAAAGTTATGTTGAAATAATTTCTTTCAAATGATAAAAATGACTGGAAGCACACATCACCTCAGAGATATTAAATGACTTTATATCCATGTTATTTGGTGAATTTTTCTTTCTAGTTAGAGACCGCTATTGATTTCATTATACCTATCCTATATTTATTTAAGTTATTTTTAAGTGAATGTGTTATTTTTTAATATGTGACACGTTCAACTGCTTAAAGACAATAATAATATTGAATAGTGATGGAATCATGGACATGACGTTAGAAGGGTTCCATCATGATTAGACTATTAAATGTATCAGCATATCGCCTTAGGCTACTGTAGCTCTATTTCTATAAATACTTCTTGTACTTATCCTAAAAGGGATCCGCTTTTCCAATTAAAAAACTGCCTTAGGCTACGGCCCAAATATATTATTTACATAAATTAGATCTTGTAGTTTGAATTAAACTTCATCATTTGGTGATTTCATGAGAGCTGATTAATGATGAACACGATGGTTGGATCACACAATCATAACTGACCTGGCACTAATTAAGGTGCATGTTGATAGAATGAAACAAGTCGTGATAGGCAAGATCAGCTGGGAGATAGAATTGGGTCTCAACCCGTTAGAAATTAAACAATAGGAATTTAGGACCAACTGGAGCCGGACTCCTTATCCTCGAAGAACATGGTGCGCAAAGGAATGAGTATGTGGAAGACATAGGAGCTTACCTGAAAGAGGAGAAGAGCGCACAAAAAATTGTGAAGGCGCTAGGGTTTGCGACAGGAATTACAGGTCTATGTGAGGAAATTTTAGCATAAAGCTTTCTTGAAGGAAGGACGTACCTTTTATAGCTATAGTGTGATGCTTCTTCAACCGCTTGGGAACCGCTACCAAGGCACTCGAGTGTTGAAGTTGGTAAGGCGAGGTTGGAAACCGTGAAATCACATGCTCGTGTCAAGTTACTGCCCGCATCAAATGCGGAACGACGATGCAGTTCATGAAGGAAAATTTGAAGATTCGAGCTGGTTTCTCTTTTAAGATCAAGCCCAAGTTATTTTAGAGAGTATGTGGGGCGTTATGGTATCATGGACGGTGGTCGTGGGCCCGTGGGCCAATAAAGACCACACGCGTGAATCCCATTTGACTGATTAATATACTAATAAAACCAATTGGTCCTGACAGGAGACCGAGGCCCGCAAAAGGAAAACACATCCAGGCTGACCTGGTCAGCAGGCCTTGAGCCTGGGTGGGATTCCAGCAAGGTCGAACTCACCCTACGGCTTACACCGCTAGCTATTGGTTACGCATGGCTATTTGGCAGCGGCATGGACTTAACAAAAGAGACATAGACATAATAAAGGAGTAATAAATGCGGAATTATGTGATACGTTAGAGGAGTTTCATCATAATTAGACTATTAAATGTACCGGTGATATCTCCTTACGCTACTGTAGCTCTATGTCTCTACATACTTCTTGTACTTACCCTAAAAGGGATCCGCTTTTCCGATTAATAAACTGCCTTCGCTGCCCAAATATATTGTTTACGTAAATTAGCTCTTGTAGTTGGAATTAAACTCCATCAAATAGGATATCAATATGTTATATTTATATGATTTAATTTTTTTAATGATGAATTAGGCATGTCGCTACTAACACCGATTTTGTATATTTCCTTAGTCTTTGATAATTTGTTGAGAAAAGGAGCAAATAAGGTCATGTACTAACCAAAAAAGGTCAAATAAGGCCTTATTTAGGAGGCTTTGTCTGGCCATCGCCATTTGAGGTGGTTCCCGGTGGAATTATTTTATGAATTTTTTTTAGCATCTTATTCATTAAGTCTAGTTTACTCATACCAAATTTCAGCTAAAACTTCAATCGGGAAGACATTCAAATGAATTTTCGAAGATAACTGCCCATTTAAAAGCGCAGTTATCTTCAAGAATTCATTTGAATGACTTCCCGATTGAATTGTTAGTTGCAATTTGGTATGAGTAAACTAGATTTAATGAATAAGATGCACAAAAAAATTCATCAAAAAATTCTACCAGGGACCACCCCAAATGGCGAAGACCGGACAGAGCCTCCTAAATAAGACCCCATTTGACCTTTTTTTGTTATTATGTGGCCTTATTTGCCCATTTCCCCTAATTTGTTTTATTGAGAGACATGCATGATAATATACTAATATTGTACATTTCCCGAACCAAAACTTCAGTATATCGAAATTTCGTTAAGGTAACAGTACGTAAATTTTGTATACTGAAAGTTTCATTACGGTAAAGGTATGAGATAAAATATTCGGTATATCGTACTGAACCACTGTGTACTCCAATATTCCCTATGTTATTTGTTTTGCAAAAAGAGTAGCCCCTGTCTCTCAATAACTCACTCCCTAGTTCGAGGAAGTGTCTACCGTACAGTTGAGGTGTACAATGAGAACCGTACACCCTGTGGCATTTTGGTAATTTGAATGAAATCCACGTCTTCCGCTAAATGATCATTAATGAACTTTTTGTGAGCATCATACATTCAGAGCACCAGACAACAAAAAAAAGTGAGCATCAAACATATTCTATCAAGTATTAGAAGCCTAACAATGAGCTTTTTTTATTACAGATTATGATTATCTGATTTTGACAGGCACCCAGTCGGGTGGGCACTATACTCGCTCGGGTACCCGGTCCAAGGTGTTGAAAAACACTTATAAATAGCACACTTTTCTTTCACAAATAATCTCTCCTTCTTCCATACTCTTAAGCCCAGTTTAGAATAGTATTTCTTTTATATTTTTATAGCATGTTTAGTCTCCAAACGAGGAGCTAAACTTCAATTTCTTGGTGTTGCTCTTGAAGCTTGTTGATTATTAAAGTTGTGAGTTATTTTCTTAACTTCTTCCCTTGAATATTAATTCTTCCCTTAATCTATCTCCACATTAATGTTGGGGAGTGTTGCTAAGTTGACAATTAGTTAACATCTCGACATTAATTACTACTAGAAACGATCAACGAACCGATGGTTAATCGTTGATGGTTTCACAAGTAAGTAACTTCGGTTTATTAATGCACGGTCGTGGTTAATAAACTTAAGAGGGATTAATTTTGTTGGTTAAACCGAAACCGTTGTGTTGAGGCTATCAATCTCAATTGATTTCATTAAGGAGTTAAAAAGATTAAATACTACTATTAAATCGGTATACGACGTTGTTCTATATTTGATTAATAGTAAGAGTTGTTAATATTTACCCTCGATGAATTGGAGATACTTCTCGATTGAGTATTCGAGAGGGGATAAGTTATAGAAATAACATGGATCGACTAAATATATCAACAAGTGGAAAGTAGCAAAGCCAAATCCTTTTTATCTTTCAATTAAATCACATATAAGTCGTTCAACTCGTTGTTTAATAAAATTAAATCTCTCAAACCTAAAATCCCCCTTTTATTTACTAATTTCATAAAAAGAGAATTACTCATTTCCCTGTGAATACGAATTCTACTTCACTATACTACGTATAAGTCTTAATATCGAATTTATTTTGACGCACTACGACAAAGTGCTCGTCAAATTTGGCGCCGTTGCCGGGAAGAGGCAATTATTGTTCGTTTTATTTTATTACAAGAAAAATAAAAAATATATAAATAAATAAAATATAAAAATTTCTTACGTTTCTATTTTCTGAGCTTACATGAGTATATGGATACCAACACATCATCCTTAGAGAGTCAAATTTCGGTCTTGGCTTCTCTAATAAAGGAGTTTATCTTAAGCTCAAAAGCTCAAGATGCCAAGACCTGTAACATTTGCATGACTTACAAGCATCTTACAGATTTTTTCCCAAAGCTCCAAGAAGAATACCTTGAACAAATTGATGATGTTTGTTTCCAAAAGAAAGTACCTCACATATATGAGGTATGATCCATTCACCAACATGTATATGGAGGACATGGTTCAGACTCTTGCTACCAACATGACCACCATGCAAAACAACATGGTGCAATTCCAAAATGATACCAAGTCTAGCATTTTAAACTTGGAAACTCAAGTGAGTCAAATAGCCGGAACCGTGAGTAGGCTTGAAGCAAGGGATTCGATAAAACTTCCCTCTCAAATAGAACATGCAAATGATAAAGAATTGCAAAAGGAATCTCAAAATCCAAAAGGAGGAGGAGGAGGAGGAGAAGAAGATCCAAACGGTCAAACAAGAGGATAAGCTGAGCTTCAAATTCAAATTTTTATCCTTGTCATCCTTTGAGGTACCTACTCCATTTCTGGAAGCTTTGAGGGAAACTCGTAAACTTGAAAAGAACAATGACATTTCTGAAATCTTCATCAAAATTGAGGGATCGAAAAAAATTTCATTGACCATGCTAAATGATAATTTCTTCCGCTTACTCTCACCACATGAATCAATGGAAATCTGGATATTCGGTCCTGGAAAGATTTTTAAAGCAAAGAGTCGAGAAATTGAGCATTCCTATGGAAGAAATAGGAGTGAAAATGTGAAGAAGATAAACTTTCACGATCCAAGTTTGAATGACTGAACACAATGATAGCGTCGTGCCACGACGTTAAATAAAGAGCTTCTTGGGAGGCAACCCATGCAAGGTACGTTTACTTGTCTTATTTTATTTTAATTTTGCACTTAAAAAAAATAGAGGCGTAAGACACATACCCGGCCGGGTACCACACTTCACCCGGTCGGGTATAGTACAAAAACATCTCACCCGCACCATCACCCGGGCGAGGCAGACAATAATCTTTTTTAAAAAAACAGTATTACCCGATCGGGCACCTCAATGCACCCGACCGGGTAATTTCTCAAAGGCCTTCTGCCAAGCCCTAGGATGCAAAACCCGATCGGGTAACACCACAAACCAGGCCGGGTAAAGAAAAATTTTCTGACCTGGGCTAGCGGAATGCGAAAATCCGACCAGATAACTCCAAAAACTCGGTTGGGTAACTGAAAAATGATAATATGGGCTACTGGAATGAAAATCCAACCGGGTCAACTCACCAACCCGGCCAGACAAAAAAATGAAATAAAAAGGTCCATGTTTAACTAATACCCGACCTGGTAACACACCCCACCCGACCGGGTAACCAATCCAGCAGCATTTTGCCTCTTCGAAACCACAAAACCCGACTGGGTAAATGGAAATTTGTAAATTAAACGGGTCGGGGCAGCCCTCTTTCTTCTCCATCTTTCTGTCCCCAATTTCCAACCAACACCAACAAACCTCCATCGCCGAAGATTCAAACCTCCCATACCTCCCACATCCATCCACCAAAAACACAAATTAACCCCATAATCTTCTTCTCATCTCCCTTCTTTTCTACTCTATACCAACAAAACTCACCCAAATCTATCCAAAAGTCCAAAACCCCGATCTTTCAAGCACAAAGCTCTGAATTTTATTCCAAAAATGTAAAAAAAAAAAAGCATAAAAAAAGGCAAAGGATTCATCTTCTAGGACATCTCGGAGATAAGCACTAGGGACAATGCTTTGACTAGCTTGGGGGGAGAGTTTCATGGAATACTCACATTCATGCTCTTTATTCTTGTTAAAAAAAATAATAAAATAAAATAAAATAACTTGTTAAGTTGAAAACCTGAAAGGACAACTCAAGCAAAAAAAAGCAAAAATAAGAGTGAGTTGTGACGATTAAAACAAAACAATGTGGGACGCTGAGATGAAAATCCGAAAGTGCACCTAGGCAAAATGATAGAATGAGAGAAAATATCTCTTTTATTTCTGCAGGATCCTAAGGGTAACAATGAAAACTTGAGGTTGATAGGAAATACGGAGTTGAAGCCCTCTTTACTCTTGTATTTTTGGGGATATTTTGTGTTGTTCTAAAAACACCCTTGGATGTTTGTGTTGATACTTTTGTTATTTTGAGGACTTCTTGGACTGGATTTGGTTTACTCGAGACGAGTAAAGGTTCAACTGTGGGGGTGTTTGATATGCACTAATAAGTAGTGCATAAATGTAAGTTTTTATGTTTGATTTGTGTAGATT